GAGCTCTGATGCCAATTGAAGGTGTGAGAAACACAAGAAAGGGGGTTTGAATTGGGTTTCACCAAAATAAATTTTGAATCTTTTTCGTTGATGAAAAACCAAGTTAACTTAGAAAATAAAAATAAATGAACACAATTATTTTTATCCTGGTTTTCTATTAACTAAGCTACTCTGGTCCATCCCACAAGGTGATTTTCCTTCAACAAGGACTTAATACACTGTAATCAAACTGATTATAGATAACCCATAATAAGTTGGATCAACCTTATTGGCACCCCCAATAAGTCAATCAAATCTTATTGCAAATCCACTCAAACCATAACAAGAGTCTTCTTGAGATCTGACCTTCACTTGGTCTCTCAAGGAATTAACAACAATTGAATACTTTTAGTGTATTACAGTTTGCTTCTTCTAAGCAGATTACACAAATGTTTTAGTACAAATAAAAACACCTAAGTGTTTTACAACAAGATACGAGCAACAACTCCTTGCCTATTTACAAAACTATACACTGAAGATTTCTCTAAAGAGTTTGCACAGTGCTTTGGTGTAGTTTTTCTTGAGCTTGATTTAATTCGATAGATTTGTGTAATGTTGATTCTTAAATTTCTTCAGCTTCCAAGTCTTTCTTTTATAGCTTGTAAAAGAGATTCATTGAAAGGGTAGAAATGTAATAGGAAAATAAAGTTGTTTTTTCTCAACGGTCCTAATGAGATTGGTCACAGTATTGTACGAAAGGAAGGTCCTTACGCCACCCTAGAGGGTAGATGTCATAGAGCACTTTTTGTACCTTTTGTACACCATAACACATTAACCATTTAGAATTTCTTCTTATCTTTAGAGGCTTCAGATAATTTGAATGTTTGAAGCTTGTTGTAGAAGAATCACTCTTAAGTCTTAGAACCTAAGTCTTGGAGTCTTCAGAACTTGTCCTATCAGAACCTCGTCTTCACAGTCTTCAACACTTGGTAGTAAGAACTTGCTTTTCTTCAGATCATCAGAGCTTGTTCAGTAAAACCTCATCTTCATAATATTCAGAACTTGTAACACACAGAAGCAAAGCTTTAGAAGGCCTCTAAAGCTTAACCATAAAGTCACGATTAGAACATCTTGTACTGACATTCCTAAGACTCGTTGCATAAGATGAATTCCAGAATCTTGACTTCAACTATAACACGTAACCACATGTTTCATCCATTAGTGTTTATGTTCAGAACCTGATGACATCACACACCTTGATACCAGATCTAGAACATTACAACAGCAACTACACACTAGAACTAAATCATTAAAGTATACAATTCTTCTTAATGATATCATGTAAACTTATCATCAAAATATTAAGACTAGATGTAGAAACACTTCTTGTTCTTACATTTTGGACATTTGAACTTTCAATCACTCAATCAACTGATTACTCAAGATATGGTATCTTGTATCCCAAGTCTTGTGATGCCCGACAAACTCTGTGAAGGTTGTTTAGTCGGAAAGCAATCCCGAAACTTTTTTGTTTCGACTATGCCAATAAGATCATCTTGCATACTCAAAGTGGTACATTCAAATGTATGTGATCCATTCAAAGGACATGTCATTGGTGGAAATAGATATTTTGTTTCATTTGTCAATAAGTTTAGTCGAAAGCTATGGATCTATGTGATCAAGAGAAAGGACGAAGTATTCAAAATCTTTAAGAGATTCAAGATCATTGTTGAAAATCAGAGTGATAAGAGGATCAAAGTTTTGCGAACAAATGGAGGTGGAAAATACACATCCAAGATGTTTGAAGATTTTTGTGCAAAACATGGTGTCAATCATAAGGTAACTGCTCCTTATACGCCTCAACATTATGGAATTGCAGAAATAATAAACATAACCATATTGGAATGGCAAGATGAATGTTGAAGCAAAAGAATTTGCCAAAATCCTTATGGGAAGAAGTTGTTTTGACTGCAGTTTATATTTTGAACAGGTGCCCTACCAAGATATTGAAGAACAAGGTTCCTGAAGAAGTATGGAGTGGCAAATGAACATCAGTGAGTCATTTGAAGGTGTTTGGCTCTATCTGTTATAAGCATGTTCCTGATGGGAGAAGAAGGAAGCTTGATGACAAGAGTGAACCTATGATTCTGGTAGGATATCATAAAACTGATGCATACAGCCTATTCAATCTAGTTAATGAGAATATTGTATTGATTCAAGACATTGTGATTGATGAAAATTCTGCCTAGGATTGGAATTCTAATGATGCCATTAACAAGCCATTGATGATCCATGGTTTCGATGAAGAAACTACTGAAGTTGAAGAAAGTGCTAATATTCTAATTGAAGTCGAAGCAATTACTGACATTTCAGAAACATTCAAAGTCGAAGAGGTTGTGGCTGCAACAAGCCAAAGACCTCAAAGAAGTGGTGGGTGATGATAAAGTCACACCAGATGGAGAATTAGTTCATTTTACTTTACTTGTAGGTGTTGAACCAATCAATCATAATGAAGCTTTGAAGATTAAACACTAGAAGTTAGCTATGGTCGAAGAGTTACAAGAAATCAAAAGAAACAGTACATGGGAGTTAGTCGAATTTCCAACACGTACAAAATCTATCAAAGTGAAGTGGGTGTTAAAGTTGAAACACAATACTGATGGATCGATAGCAAGACATTAAGCAAGATTAGTAGCTCGATGGTTTCTTCAACGAGAAGGACTTGACTACTCTGAAGTATTTTCTCCAGTAGCAAGATTGGAGATTTTTATACTAGTGGTAGCATTGACATGCAACCAAGGCTGGTCGACATTTCATTTAGATGTGAAATCAGCATTTCTAAATGGTCCTTTAGACGAAGAGGTCTATGTCACACAACCTTCAGGGGTTGTGATTCAGAAGGAAGCAAGTAAAGTATATAAGTTGCACAAAGCGCTTTATAGCCTCAAGCAGACACCTAATGCATGGACCAAGAAGATCGACTCATACTTAGTCGAATTAGGATTTATCAAATGCAAATCAGAGTCTGGTGTCTATGTTTAGGTTGTAGCATAAGATATAACAATCATTTGCTTGTATGTCTATGACTTACTAGTAACTGGAAATAGCTTGGAGAATTTTTTGAAATTCAAAGAGCTGGTTATGAGAGAATTTGAAATGTCAGATTTGGGAAAATTGTCTTATTTCCTAGGCATGTAATTTTAAATGTCGAAGCAAGGTATGATGCTACATCAAAGGAAGTATGTCAAAGAGATACTCAAGAGATTCATAACGGGTGATTTGAATCCTGCATCCTCACCTATCGAACCAAATGTGAAGTTGAAGAAGAATGGAGAGAAAGACAAAGTCGATATAACTTTGTTCAAACAAATTGTGGGATCTCTGAGGTATGTGTGCAATAGTCGACTTGATATAAGTTTCATAGTCGGATTAGTGAGCAAATTCATGGATGAATAAAGAGTGTCGCACATGAAAGCTGCAAGAAGAATTATAAGATACTTAAAAGGATCGATAGGCTTTGAAATTCTATTTCGACGAGATTCTGAACGCAAAGAAGCAACAATTACTTATTTTTCAGATGTTGATTGGTGTGGAGACAAGGAAGATCAAAAAAGCACAACTGTATATTTCTTTCAAGTATTTGGTGTCTCAATCTCATGGTGCTCAAAGAAGCAACTGGTGGTGGCATTGTCATCGTGTGAAGCTGAATATATAGTACGATCATATGTTGTATGTCAAGCAATTTGGATCAGATTTGTACTTGAAGAAATGGAAATCGAAGTGAAGAAACCTCTAGTGTTGCAAATCGACAACAAGTCAGCCATAAATCTGACGAAGAATCCAGTTCTGGATGAAAGAAGTAAACATATTGAAGCTAGGTTTCACTTTTTGAGGGAAAAAGTAATTGAGGTGAACTTAAAGTTAAGCATTGCTCAAGTGAAGCACAGTTGAGTGACTTTTTCACCAAAGAATTGAAGATCGACAAATTCTTGAATTTGAGAAAGAAATTAGGAATAAATCAGATCGACTATGATTAACGTAGGTCTGACAACTTGGATTATGGAGGATATGTTTAAATATTAGATTTGATTAGATTTAATATTTAAATATAATCCAAATTATGGAAGCCTAAGTCCAATTAGAATTGTATATAAATAATCATAGTGTGTATCTTTATTTTATACAATACAATTCAAATGAATAATATAATTCTTATTTCTTTTATTATTCACTCTTTCTTTCTTCATTCAAAATGTCTCATGCACTAAGATCAGACCCCACCATATAATTCTCACTCACTATGATGTTCTTTGAAGACTGTGGCGCTTCAGTTAACCAAATCTTTTTTTAAAGCTCTGATAAAAAATAAATAAACATGCATAATTTCAACATAAATCTTAATTTGCTGGGCCTTACATATTTATTTTATTCCATAATCCCTCTCTCTTTGGGAAAAAAGAAAGAGGAAAAAATGTCGATATATTCTTTAGCCAAATATTTCCTCTCTAATAAGAATATGGAGTATGGAAAGAAGATGTCTTATTTTCCTCTTTTTTTTGTCAAAAACCATCCATATCTTGAAGACTTGAACCATCGTATTTTCTGAACTAGATCTTGTTGGCTTCACTTCCTCAACAAGACACTATTCTTAATGGAGTTTCTAACTTGCAATGCATAAACCACGAAAACGGACACTTTAGGTGAGAAATGTGGTTGAGCCAATTAATAGCCTACTCAGACAAAGACCATCACGTTTCAACAAATCAAGTTAATTGCCTTAAAAAAATCAACTTAAGTAGAAGTTAGTTATAATAGGAATTCATAGTATTAACTGTTGGAGATTATTGGTAATATTACAGTAATCTTTGTCCAAATTATAGGAATTCATAGATAGCATAGTTTTTGAACAATCATAGTAATTCACCACTGAATCTAAACATGTACTTAAATCAAAATCCGATCACTTCATCAGATTCAACTTTATTCAGCTAACAGTAATCAACTAGAGAATGAGAACTATATTAATTCTTATCAAACCTTGAATCAATTAAAAAAGCATTTGATTCGGTTCTTCCTCCTCTTCCTTCTCCAACAGCAGTTGTCAAGACCAAACTGGTCCGTTTCATCTTCATTGGATATGAAAAAGTGTTGTTACACCTTGGAAGCTTGTGATTGTAGTTTATGCATGAGTTTTTACTATGAAGTGGACAACGACATTTATGGTGATAAGGTCGACGTTCAACACAGTTGTCATAACCAGATATGCTCCCTTCATACAGCGACCAGAACAATCCACCTCCGGCGGTCGCCATGTGTGTCTCTCTAAATCCAATGAGAGGTTTGGTTTCTTCTTATGCCAACTTGACAATGTGTATCCTCTCTCTCTCCATATATTTATAAAACGTTTAGTTTGACTTTGTCAACGAAAATAAATTGCTTTCTTTGTTTATTTATTTAGATATTTTTACTCATCTCTTATTGTTTAGTTGGGTCTTTCACAATTGGTATGAGAAAGTGATGGGCAATATTTATATTACACCATCCATGGGTAGTTCAAGTAGGAACATGTTTTGTCGCCAACTATACACTCAATTGGCCATTAAAAGATAAAGAAATAGAGAATAATGCAATAGATTTTATATATGTTGACCATATATTTAGAAAATAGATTTTAAAAAATAAGATATTAAATATAAGTGTATGGAAATTTGAGGCATTAAATATGAATTGTCTCCATCTTCTCCTTAAGATCTTCCTTTTATATAGTCATTTTGATACGTCTTCGCGAAATCTATTTGAGGCAATTTAAGATAATTGTTTCTGATTCATATGACCTCTTAATGGTGAATGGCAACCAGACTTGATTGTCCAAAACACAAATCATGATATTTGTAATCAGTCATAAATGTGTTATCTATTATATATCAATGAGATATCACTTTGTTAGGCTTGAGTTGGCATAATTTACTTGACTCATCTATTATTTTAGTTTGACCTTGTTCTTCAAAATAGATAATTAATTGATGTGAGCTTCACTGGGTCAAGGTTGAATTCGGGCCTAAAAAACCATACATGTACACATCCCATCAAACATGAGTCGTGTAAAGGATAAATGCTTTCTTAATACATTCCAAGAAACTAGACATGTACAAATCCCCTGAAGTATGAGTCGTGTAAGGGTGAAATACTTTCCTAATGTATTCCAAGAAGTTAGATATGTACAAAGTCCCTCAAACATGAGTCATGTAAGGGTGGAATCATTTCCTAATGCATTCTAAGAAACCATATCTGTACACAGGCCCTTAAGAATGAGTCGTGTAAGATTGAAATGATTTCCTAAGCTCGGTTAGCAATTATCCGACATTCCTAAACGAATGCTCTATTTTTGGAAAGCTTGCTATATTTTTCCATATATGGTAGTCACAGATTGTGGTCGGCCTATGTTTGTTGATTGCTTCACTTTTCCACTTCTTTTGTGATGATGGTCAAACGCCTTAAAAATAGGAGGCAATCATGATATATTCCTACTACATGTATCCCTAATTAGGTAGCCTTAAATGCAGTCATCATTTTTTTGCCACTCATATACTATAAAATAGGCTTCACCGTTTCTTATTTTTCTCATCTCTTCACTTTACCATATAGTTTTTCGGCAAGTACTTTTGTGCCATTCTCCCTCTTCAATCTTGAATCTTCTATAAAACGCTTATAGAATCAAGTAACACCTTATTTCTTCAGGTTTTTCCTTTCTTCTTTCATGGTATTTATTCGAGAGGGTGACTCATCTAGGAGGGTCTTAGAGCCCCAAAATGACATTGAGATGTGCAAGTTGTGGAATAGATGTTTGCAACACACAAAATGGGGTATGTGGAAAGCATAATGAAGTTTTGTAGAAATGGAGCTCTTAGGCAGTTATGAGATCTCTTCTAGTGATAGATCAGAGAGACAATCGCCTAGAGATAATGACATTGATAGTGTCTTCTTCCTTAAGTCTGACTAAATCTGCCATGTCGCTCTCTGTTTCTAATCATAAATCCTTTTATGGATAGGCCATAATTATTAACTCGATATGTTTTGAATATGGTTGGATTCAAGCCTTTGTGATAGATTTGGAGTTGTTCAACATTGCAAATGAGGTTGGAGTGATATTTGAACTATGTTTGTTGAGTGAGAATATTTGCATGAAGCGGCCTAGTGGAGTAAAAGGCGTGTACTTTTACTTTCATACTTGTGTGATTAAAGATTTCAGAGTTGGTATCCCATTCTTGAAGGTTGTCAATGTTGCCCTTTTTCTGTTGCATCCTAACATATGGGCCTTTATCTGAGGTTTTGAGGTCATGTGTTGGGTTCTCAACATCACTCCCGCAGTTGGCATGTTCTTTTCCTTCTATGAGACTAAATGGTTTAACAAGGGTGAATGGGTCTTTGTGAGCTCTATCTTTGGGCGCGCTCTTCTCTCCCTTTACACTTTCAACTACATACACTAGAAGGACAAGTTTGTATTTATTAGGGGCAATGTTTGATGTTATGAGGTCATGTACGAAGAAGATGGGACTCACCAGTTCCTTCTGTCTTGGATTGGTGAGCACCTCAATATCATGGGCTATAAAACAACCAAGCTTAACAAGATGGAGATAGAGGTGGTTGAAATGTTGAAGATGGTTTCCATTATGAGGGTGTGATACATCGTGGACTTGAAGGAGGTCTCGCGACAATGCTGAATTTTCTACATAAGATAATTTATTGGTATCATGCCCTTGTACATTATTTTTGGATGAATTATCACTTGTCTTTTTTGTTTCCCTTTATTTTTTACAGAGAGGGTGACCCCCTTATCGTTACAAGAGAAGAAAGCAATGATGACAAAGGATATATCTCATCGGGGCAAGTTGGAACTGGTCCCTAAGAGTGACGCCTCTAGATTCTAAGCTCGGGCAGCTAATAAAAGGAAATTGTCCACTGAGGGGAAGTCATCAAAGTCATTCCCATATCTACCATCTTACCACCACCTCCTTTTGATAGTACATGGTCGCCCCAACAAAGAGGAATAAGGTGGATCCTGAAAAATAGCCAATTGATGTGGATGTCATTGCCTCCATAAATCAGGAGATAGGAAGTTTTGTGGAAGGTGATAGCATTTGGTCTTCAAAACGTGGACCTTCTGTTACTCTTGAAGAATGGCGATTTTGTGTTTGGGATATGATTTTTGATGGGATGGAATTCTTATATCATCATCTCAATTCCATAAGGGACTTGGAGAAGGAAAAGTCGATGGTCTCTTAGGAAAATGTTCTGGCTTTTCAACACTTATATATTGAGGACTGTCTTCTTGGGTCGAGCCTAATTTGAAGATTCTAATGCTTCGTATAAGAGATAGGGTGACTTGAATGGAGAAATAAAAAATGTGCAAGAGGGTTATAATTTCAGTCGGACCATGTTAACTTTTGTGATTAAGAGGATAACTACTCTTAATAGGGAGTTAGTCCGGACCAAGATCGCCTCTGAAAAGGTATGGCATGAGATGGATAAACTTTTGTAGGAGAATGAAACCCTCGAGACAATAATTTATAAATAGAGTAACAAACTTGTTAAGGTAGAGGCTAAGCTGAACGATCTCAAGTGAACCTTAATGAGGCATGTACAGATGGCCTCCTTTTTAGGGACCAAGGGTTCATGAAGGTGAGGAAGCAAGTATGCTACATGTACCCCGAGCTCAACCTTGGTGATTTGGATTAATTTAAGGTGGTGGTGGGTGGTTTCCTGGTGGAAGAAACCGACCTCATGGAGGACCACCTTTTTGACAAAGAGATATAGACAATACTCTTTTCCTAAAAGGTGATCGTTACTGACGAGGTTTTTAGAGAGGTTAGGATTGTTCCACCAGAGATCTCGCTTGAGAATGTTCCTTCCACCTAGGATATGATTTTTTTATTCCTATTTTAATTAGTTTTGTAATGTATCCTCTTCTGATTATTGTTAGTAAACTTTTTAATTAAGGAATTTTAGTTTTATTCAACCTTATCTTTTTATGCTTTTCCAAAAGTGGATCTCGAATTTCACCTATATTTGTTTTGAGAATTCGCAGTCGCTTATTTTCACATGCCCCGTATGGTTTCCATCATAGACTGAAGAGTCTTTATAAATTCTTATATATACATCGTTGGCCTTTAGATTCCCACTAAGGTTCTTGTGGATACACCAAAGGGATTCACAATCCTACTAGGGTTTTGGTGGATACTTCGGAGGGCTTTATAGTTCCACTAGGGTTCTTTGGATACCCCTGAGGGATTCAGAGTGCCACTAAGATTTGGAAGGATACCCCAGAGGGCTTTAGAGTCCTACTAGGGTTCTCGTGGATACCTATGAAGGCTTCAGAATCCCACCAGGGTTCTGGTGAATAACCTAGAAAGCTTTAGAGTCCCACTACGATTCTGGTAGTCTTTTCTAAGAATAAAGAAAGTTGATCATTGATCTCTCTATCTGTCGCATAATGTATAGTTAATTAAAACATTTAGGGTGCCTCATTAAAAACATTTCCCTTGTAGAGGTAAAAAGTACCACCCTAAGTGTTATTGCTTTGTAGGATACGAAAATAAAAATTACATAATGTTTGGCCATCGAGGCTCTTTTTAAACTATAATAGTATCTTAAATTCACAATATTATAAGTCCTTGGAACTTCTTCTTCTTCCTATCTTTCTATCTTATATTCCCCTTGAGATAGTTTATGTCATACATGAAAAGGCCTTCCCAGTTTGGGCATTGCTTGCCTTTCAGGTCAGGTGCTACAATAGGTTTTAAGACCATGTCACCTTTATTTCATTGTTTTAGGTTTCACCTTGGAATTTTACCCTTTTCCCTATATTTTCTTTGTGTCGCACGCGCAAATCAGAACTAAGAGAGAACGAAATTGTGGCAGTAATGATAGGAAAAGAAATGTAGCGTTAAAGATTTGAGATTAAGCCATCAATTGACTTATCTCAACACAATGAATTCGCCACCGCACTTTATTGTTTCCAAAGGGAAATGGGAAAAAAACGAACAAAACCCATAATGAAATAAAAGATCAGAGATCGAGGTACGGGGGTCGGTTATGCAAAGGGAAGGTATTAGCATCCTAAGCATCTACGGTACTCCGCAGGATCCACTTTGTTTATTTTCTTTTAAAATGAGTGTCATGTAAAGGTTTACTTGCTAAAGGAAAAGAATGAATGAGTATTTGTTGCTCGTCTTGGGTCATAAGACTTAGTGCCTACGTACTCCCTCGTGCAATGGGAAAGTCAGAGCACCGTAGTTCGGCTAGAAAAGACTTG